CTTAGCCCGTAAGTATTTGTCCGAGGGGTCGTATCCATTGCTGAGTTATCATGCATTTAGAACATCCCGTTTGCCTGTTATATATGTATTTGGGAAGCGGCCTATTGACATTCAGGACTGTGTCGATCAACTATCCCCCGTTATTCGAAGTCAACTTACCGATGCTACCTTAACAAAATCAGTAATTCTCAAATCAGACGTTTCATACACATACAGCATAGGTATGTTACCTTTGTTTGTCCTGTGCTGCTACTAACGTTATTCCATCAAGGAAATACCAAAGAATTACTTCAAAAAGAGTTCCCTGGCACTGAAATAGTTGCTTCTCACGTGCCGACAAGATATATACCACCCCCCTCCGCATCCGCCATAGCTCCGTATGCACCTGCAGATCCTGATCAGCCGTCTGAACCAATATCCCCCTTGCCTTCTACATTTCAGACAAGTAAGGATGCAGGCCCCGCAATAGTATCTGAAGGGATTCCGGCCGAGGAATGCTTGATATTGTATATTGGGGGCGAAAGCCTTGCTCTGACCAATTTTCTGCTTACCCATTCTTCGAGTGAGGTGAGTTTGACCCAACTCACTCGCTGGATATCTTGAAATGGCCATGTCTATAGGTTGTATCATACGACCCTCAAACGAGGTTAACGCGTCGTGAAACTGGTAGCGTAAACAAGCTCCTAATGCGCCGTTACGCAATAATCCAGAAGGCACGGGATGCGGACGTGATTGGTATATTAGTTGGGACGCTTGGAGTTGGCAAGTGCAAGTCTCCTAAGAGAAGAGCGACTGATGCGATAACGAAGTTTAGCGTCCTACTTGCCCTTGATGGCTCATCTACGCCGGCTACTCTCCAAGGCTCAGAAGAAATGCTATACCATTAGTGTCGGGAAGCTTAATCCAGCAAAACTTGCGAACTTTATAGAGATCGAATGCTTTGTGTTAGTTGCTTGTCCGGAAAATAGTGTTATCGATTCCAAGGTATGCGGTTGCATACATCCCGGTTTATATGGCTGATGCATATACTAGGAATTTTATCGACCCATAGTAACGCCATTTGAGCTCGAGGTTGCCTTAGGAGCCGATCGTAGTTGGACAGGGGAATACGTGCTTAATTTTGACCGGATTCTATCCAGACAGAAGGCAGATGGTATGGTCTACAGATTTTGTTCTGAAAATTCTTACTTACAGTGTCTTTAGAAGATGCACCCAACGATCAAGATTCAGAAGAGGATCCAGACCGACCATCCTTCTCATTAGTAACGGGAACCTATCGACACGCGAAGCGTTACACAGATCCTAGAGGTTAGTGCCGCTTGATACCGAGCGAAAACGCATAATTATCACCTATTATTAAGGTATTGATGTAGAAGGAGCCGATCTTGGTAGCCATGCTGTTGCATTGAGGAACAATGAAGGTGTATTATCCCGAGCCGTCGCAACTGCGGGTAGTATGTCGCGTTTCACTTATCTCACGACTCCATGTGCTAACTAAGCCCTGAATAGGTGAATTCCTGCATGGTCGATCCTTCCAAGGGCTGGAGCAGCGACTTGGGCAAGATGAACCGGCTGTCCTCGAACAGGGTCGAAGTGGAATTGCCAGGGGCTACCAAGACGTGGATCACACTCCAACTTCATGACCGTTGCTTACTTCCTAAGTAAAACACACAAAATGGCATTTCTATCCATTTATAACACAATATTACAACAGCGTGAACAGGATGCGGAGCAAGGACCGAGTGAATGAAAAATGGGTGAGGTTAATAGTCGGGAAAAACATTGAGTTAGCTGAAAACATCCGAAGAACGCGATATGATACTAATAGCAGTAGACAAGTTCTTGATGAAATAAACCGCGACCAAGGAGACGAAATGAATATGCGAGGGAGATGGTGGCTACTATCGCTTAGAAGAGAGTGTCTTTGTTACACTTTCAGAAGCCTTGACGGCTCGCATTAACGATGCTTTAGTCCCAGCTCTGAGGCTACTTGAAACTCCTGTCCGTGTGGTCGCTGTGGTAGTCCCGGTTTTGGCGGCATTCCCGGTAGCAAGCTGGAGTAGACCTGGTACTTTCTTCCCCTTCGCCGTTTCAGTCTTACCCCTCTTAAGGAATGGGCTCGGTAGGTTCTCCTCGTCAGCAAGGTCGTAAACAGGTGGAGCTGCCACCCATCCCGAAGTTTGGATCGTCGTGGGTGCTGCACCTATAGGGCGAGCGGCGGGTCCTACCGTTGATCGACGCGCGAGCCTCTTGGGCGGGTCACCCTCAGACGATGAACGTTCCAGGGGGCTGGTTTCCGGTAGGTCAGTGAGTTGTGTGGCGGGTATAGGCGCACTGGTCGGTCGGTCGTCGATGGTCATATCAGAAGGAGATGGTGCGATCCCCCCTCGACCTGGGGTTGGAATCTCTTCTCCGGAGTCGGTAAGCACAACTCCCCGCATAGCAGAACCCAAGTTCGTCATACTCCTCGAGGTGAGCCGCCTACCGATAGGTGTCTTGGCTACGAATCCGTTTGCCTTTTGCGCGGGTCGGCTGGGAGTCTCGTCGTATGACATATATCTCATTAGAGGCGGCATCCCTGTACCATTTCTAGATTCCCTTGTGAGCAACCGGCCTCAGTGATCCAAGGCCATGACAGAGGGGTGAGTGCCCCAAAGACGAAGTGGTTAACTCACTTTTGTTCTTCTAGCGGCTTCTTCGCCCTCATTTCGACGACCGCCGCCGCCGCCTCTTTCCTGGCATCCAATCGCTCCTTCTCTGCCCTCATCTCTTCGACTTGAGCTGCAAACGCCTTTCTTACGTTTTGCACTTCCTCCGCAAATGCTTCTTTCTCTCGATTAAACACCTCGCGCTCTTGTTCGAGTGTTGCGCGTTGTGACTCTAGCAGTACCTTTTCGGCGTTGAAGGCACCTATTTCTGCGGTGAATGCTGCACGCTCGTTATTCAAGACCAATTGCTCAGCGCCCAATGTCGCACGTTCAATGTTGAAGGCGTTGCGTTCTTCCATGAAAGCAACCCGCTCTGAAGCGAAGGCAATTTGTGCGGCTTTGAAAGCAGTGCATTCTGCGTCAAAGGCACCGCGGTCCACGTTGTTGGCGGCGGCTTCTCGTTGTAACAGCGCAGCCTCCCTTTCGGCGACCTCACGCTCCTTATTCATGATCGCTGTTTTACGGATGCGTAGCCCAGTCGCTCTGAAAGATTGCAGATTAATACAAGAAATTACTTGAATATCGGTTAACTCACAGCTTCTGGGCCTCGGTCATCTTGCAAGCAAATTCAATTCTTTCATGCTGGAGGAGTTGCTGTGCTGAAGGCCGCATAGCGGGCTATTTCAACACGATCAGTCAAAAAAAAGGCGAGCTGAAACGTGAAAAACTTGCGTTAATATTTAACATCGATTTGATGACATTGCTCAGAGCTGACGAATAGACTCTAGGAAGAGGTGGTATTCGGCCTTGTCTTATTGAAAGGGCGAGTTCTTGGTGCGTCTTTGCTTCGTGAAAGGGTGGACTATCAACTTGTTAGCACGCTAGCCATCGAGGAACGGGTGTATTCATACTTTTGAGCACATAGTTCATAAATTAAGCAGCCAAGGCTCCAAATATCCGACTTAGTATCGTATTGTTTCTCGTTGATGAGTTCGGGAGACATGTAGTACGGTGTCTGGCGCCGATATCAGCAGGTATGCCAGGAAAAGGCTTGAAGAACATACCCCAACATAAGTCTGCGTAAATGTAGCATATCCAATTTGCTTCGCCAAACCAAAATCACCGAGCTTGACGTATCCCTCCGAGTCGAGAAACACATTTTCAGGCTTCAAGTCACGATGAAGAATTTGTTGTGTCGGCCGAGGCTGGACTAGGTTGGAACCTTCGCCCGAGGGTTTAGAATTGGGGAAATGACAGTGATGCAAGGCAAGTAGGATTTGCGCAAAATATGACCAGACCGTATCCTCCGTTATGTGTTTACTAAGGAAGAACTCAGCATTAATCATGACAGGTAGGAAATTAACACGCTCACTTTTGCCGCCTCATCTGTTTTATCACTCCGGACAAGTCCCCTCCACCACAGTACTTTGTACTACTCAGTAATTATGCTTAAAGAGATTCAAGGTAGCATACCTCCATTAAAATATACAATATCCCATTATCCCGATCGACATACTAATAGTGTGTCAATGCGAAGAGGTACACAGGTTCGATCCTCCACTCACTCGGTCATGATATCGTACAATATGGTCGTGCTTCAAGTCTTTTAATATATTACTTCGCATTGGTTAGCTCCAAGTAGGTCGTAATAGGAGTGAGTATACTCACACTTCTGCGACGATCTGTTTCCTGTCTCGCTCCGTCATACGTTCAAAGTTCAGCTCTTTTCGCGCAAATAATGCGCCATCAGCCTTTCTCCGGACCTTCCTAATTAACCCAAAGGAGCCGTTCCCAATCACATCCCCAGCCTCATAGTCATCCAGTACAGAACTCATGTGTTAGGTCAAGGGGGCGGTGATAAGCAAAGAATCACTTCAGCAATGCAGCTGACTGTAGTTTTCTAGCGAGGGAAACAAACGAAATGGGTTCGGATGTCTAGAGAAGCGCGGCGCGACTAGTAGAGAGAAACTTGGTGCAAGGAGGGGCGTGTCGAGATAGTCACGTGTAATGTTGGACCGCGCCAAATCATCCACTCACAAGGACACTGCCACCAAGTACACCCGGGTGGACTCAGCATATAGATGTATGCACTATTATCTATCCATCGGGAAGTATCGACTTTCCGCCCAGTCCATGGGAGCAATTTTAACTACTTTTCATCTTAAAAGCCATTTATATACACAAAATTAATCTGATCTTGAAGCGATTCACCCAGCTGAATGTACCTCGGGCTCGACAAGGCAATTAATAAGATTACACCCAGAAGCATTGTGCTACAACTGGATGATGGCTAGTGAGCAATTAGATTGGGTCTCCAACGAGTTGAAGGCCCCTAAAAAATTGCCAAAAGAATGACATGAGTGAGATTTGAACTCACGCGGGATAAATCCCAACGCAAATCAGTCCAATCAAGGACAAGCAAGTACAAATGCTTGAGTGCGTCGCCTTAGACCGCTCGGCCATCATGCCTTGCTCCTGAGCTTGACCAGTGGCTTGTGACTACTATATGCACTCTCAACTATTGGTTCGCCTTATCACTAGAAGAAAACCCGCGGGGGCGCGGGCTCCCGCCTTGCTCGACTCAAATTTGACACCTTAATCAAAGCCCTCAGGGTTCGAGAACGCCAGAGAGAACCACAGTAAGGTAGGCGACATCCATAACATGCCCCCGTGACCCTTAGGGCGTGCCCCTAGCGCGACCTTAGTGTTTGCCTGGGGGTATT